AACATTTTTGAACTTTCAAGGTGATATTCGTGATCAGCATCAAATTCTGCATCGGATGGTGTACCTTTTAGCGAAAAACAAAAAGTGCTCGAAATTTGCTTTACGTGCACCTTATGATATGTTAGATAAATCAATACACTTTTTGTAGCTCGTTATTGTATGATTTATTCGTTTATTCAATGAGACAAATGAATATACAACATCAAACGATTTTAAATAACTGCAAATTTCCAGCAGAATTTCATCATGCAATAATTCTAACGATGATTGCATATAAGACATAGAGAGAAACGATAAACATTCCTTCTGAAATCTGTTTGCAGTTTTATGTTCTTGTGCAAATATTAAATCCACTTTATATGTAACACATCTTTTCACTACGTTGAACTTTTCCAATCGTGCATAAAAATGACTTATCAACTGTTTTATCGCGACCGTTTCTTTCGTCTGCACGTTTCTGTTTCTATTTGAATGTAAAATACTAAAAGAATTTCAATTACTCATTTCACACATGGGAAATAATACGCGTTGATTCGATACTAATAAGAAATGTTAAATCTGAATTTTATTTATATATTGTATTATCAATATAAATCGTGGCTCACAAGTTAACAAGGAAAGTGTATTATTTCTTGAAAAATGTGTGAAATGAAATTTGTTGAACGGTATTTTGCATAGAAACAGAAAGAAAAACGTGAATATGAAAGAAATGGTTGTGACGACGGCTGATAAGTTATTTTCATGCACGACTGGAAAAATCCAACGTAGCGAAAAGATGTGTTACATATAAACTTGATTTAATATTTGCACAAGAACATAAGTCTGCAAACAGATTTCGGAAAGAGCGTTTATTGTTTCTCTCTATGTTTTATATGCAATCACGATTAGAATTATTGCCCGGTGAAATTCTGTTGGAAATATGCAGTTACTAACTGCATATTTTCAGCAGAATTTCACATCAAACGGTTCTAAAGTTTAGAACCGTTTGATGTGTCAACAACATTTAGTTCAAATGTTGATCCTTTTACGGGATATCGGAGTTTCATTAAAAAACTTTCATTAAAAGGAAGTTCATCAAAACTTTTAATGAAATTCTTGTGCCATCAAAAACTCCAGATCATAGTCACTTTGCAGAAGATATTTTAATGAAAGTTTCGGGACTTTCTTTGAAAACAAACGGTTTAATGGAAGTTTTTTTAATGAACGTTACCCTATCCCATTTTGCTACACGATATCGAGCGTAATCCAATAAATAGAAACTACCAACAATACCATTATATAAACTCCAATATACTTTATATCCATTCATATTTTATGAATAATTATTTCATCCTTAACAGATCTTTGGGATTACCTTTTTGTAAATGTTGATTACCATCGAATGATGTATATTTTTATTACTGCCTACAAATAATGAGATAGCTGTGATGATTTTGATTGAGCTTCAGAAACTCCAATAACTGTTCTTCTATTCTTGATACTGAAGTCATTTCTTGTGTGTCAAAATGCTTTTTTTAGTGTTCGATCAATATTGTAACTCCACCTACGATTTTTATCACACTTTGATGGTAGATTATAATATATTCTACATCTCTGGCATTAATCGAACTTTATTGTTTGTGAAATGTATGAAAACAAACTCTCAACAACAAATGGATGAGCATTTGAATAGTTTAGAATTATTTATGTTCTTCTCACTGGACTAGTTCTACTCCAAAAACCTATTATTAAAGTGCGTTCTGATGAACTTTTTCAAAAAGAAATTATATATTCAGGATCTACGCACTTAAGATGTATGACAGGGATGCTTTTCGAAAACCTTTGGTCTGGTACGATCTCTCCGTCTGAAACTATTCATAAAAAAAATATTGTCGTATGCATATGCTCTATATTTCTTTTTCTCTTTCTGATGCCAGAGAGTGAGTGGTAAGAGCATTTTTAACGAAGACACATTTAAATAATCTGTGTTGTGGATAGGGGTGGCACTTTCTCGTTTCTTTCCTGAAAAAAGAAAAGTTAACACTGACTTTTCTTTCTTTGCAAAAGGAAAGTTTTTACTTCCTACGTTTCTTTCCCAAAAAGAAAGACGCAAAACATATCACTTGATTGAGTTTTCGATGTTGATCATGACCATGAGCTTGTTTTTGCTTCAAAGTGCTTTATTCATAAAGAAAAATACAAAAGAAAGTTATATCCACTTTTTCTTTCTTTCTTTTTGGGAAAGAAACGTAGGAAAGTAAACATTTTCGTTTTCCAAAAGGCAGGAAAGTCAGTTTTTACTTTGTGTTTTTGGGGGAAAGAAACGAGAAAGTGCCACTCCTGATTGTGAATGAAAAAAAAAAGAAATACAGAGGTAAATAAACTAAGGGGGAAATAGCGGACTTCTGGAGTCCAAGGGAGGTATGTGACAGCTCATTTCAGTTCAAATGAACTCAGCTGATCGACCAGTTCATTGAGCTGTGAACTGGTATAAGTGGGTCCCAAAAACAGAACAAACGTGTTCATTTTCGGGAAGTGATTCCCAAAAAAGAACACTTTTGCTATTTCCCCCTTGAAATAAACTCAACTTCACCTTACATTCAGGTTTCAAATAGCAAAGGTTACTGTGCAACGGCATCATTATTCTGTTACATATTTAACATCTTTTCTTACTTCCTTTAAATTTATTAAAAAGACCACATTCAAGTTCTTGCATTCAATTAAAATAATAGTTTACATTTATTTTTAAATCTTTAATATCCATCCACTCACTGATCAACTACAAGAATACAATTGAAGGTAAGATAAAAGCCGCTTTGAACATACGAAGTTGGTACTAAAATCTAAACTGATTAAGATTGGATAAATAAGGATAAAGTACATCTCGCTAGAATGTGCAGATGTACGTCTCTTCCTCATTTTTTAATTTTGGTTGATTTATCTATTTTTGAGTGTTACTTTCAGGCTATGTGTAAACTAGTACGCCAGTGCTTGATCATATAACATTAGTTTTTTGTAAGTACTCTGGCATCATGACAACAGACATTGAAAGATAAGAAGCTTTTCTTATTAGTTACACTACTTTTTTTTACCATAACATTTTGTTGAATGTGTTATCAATTGTTAATAAACTAATGTAATAAATTAAAGTTTCACGCATTAGAATTATTAACATTTCATTTCAATTACATATATGCATAAAAATGTATGTAGGTGAAGTTAGCAGCAGATTATAAAAATTTACCCTGATATTTTTCAAAGGATGTGTGACAATAAAAACGGACAACAGTATAATATTCAGCATCAAATTCTACCCATCGTACACCCAACTGAACTTGAACTTGAACTTCATTAGGAAAAAATTAAAATACACTGAAAAGTCGAATCTTCTAGCGGCGGATTTTGATGTTTTAGCGGCAGATTTTTCCAGAGATCTGTATAATTAATTTAAATAATACCAATCGCTTGTACAACTCGAGAATTATGCTGTACACTCAATTAAAACCTTTAGAAAACATTTTAAAAGGCTGAAAAAAATTTAAGTTTCTGTAAGATTTTGAAACATCTCATTATACATTTTTCAGACACACAAACATTGTCAATGCGGAATGACATAGTCAGGAATTGAAGAAGAAGAAAGAAACGCACAAAGTCTGCTAAGTCTTTTTTCTGGTTGTTATTGACAGAATGGATGTTGTTGTGTGTTAGTGAACTAATAGTGTTGATGTTCTGTTTAACGGGGAAGAGAAGTCATTGTTGGTCCATAACAGTTAAAAACTTTCAAAAGAAGAAATAATGTTTTTCTTCTTCCCGATCGTTTTCTTTACATATATATAGCAGAGACATCACTCAGGTAATTATAAATTTATTTTGTGTTGGTTGTCGTTTCTATATATATAACTATGTATATAACTACGTAAATAAATAGATTTGTTTTTCTGTTTTGCTAAATGATAGTAAACTTATTTTGGTTAAGTCATAAAAAGAATTTATTTGTTCGTCATTTGTTGCGTCAATTGTTAATTTTCTGTACATTACACATAATGCTGAATCGGGTAATTTTAATATCGAACAATCATCATCAACATTCATGATTGTTGATGTTTTTATCGAACAGTGTTGAAATTCATTCTGAATCAATTGACACAAATAGGGATATAAATCAAAATAATAATCAATCATTTTTAACGTGTAATTTCTACATAAATATAGAAAAGCATTTGGTGTTTGACTTTGTATTAAATCAGACGGATAAGCACCGTTCATTGTACTACCTAATAAAAATAATAATAAAAAGAGAGACGAGTTGAGACTACTAAAACTACATTATGTACTAACACCCAGAAGGGAACTACTCCAAGTGTCCCGTCATGTTCTTTTTCAAGTATACTTGCCTAAGTGTAACTTTTGATTTTTATCACAAATCTGACATCCGATTTTGCCCTTACAGTTTTCTTCTATGAATTTCTAGAGATTCGATCTCACAAACTCATCACCAACTTCCATTCGAAGGACTTCTGATATTAAATGGATCATCAATTGGGGTATGAGATTATGTTATTGACGATACTCAACCTCTCAAGTTTATATACTAACGAGGGAACATCTCGAGGTGAAGCGCTCCTTTTTCATTCGTTCTTGCGTGGTTCGATAGGGCATCGGGTGGGGGTAAAAAGCCTAAGAGGGTTCGGGCGCAGACTTTTCCCTGGGGAGTTACGGGCATTATACGCGTTTTCCCAGCGGAAATCGGGCAGAATGAAAGAAATTGCCGTTTCGTCATTGACTCTAAAAATCAGATAAGGGTGAACTCATTCATTTTTGAAATATTGGTTCTGTTGCTAAATTCATTATATTCTTATCAACATTCAAAGATACATTACGGAATGATAGTGGTACTTTAGCTGGATCTTCACGGAAAAACGTAGATCGTGATCGAAGTAGAGTAATACACATATACAAAAACTACTCTACTTTCTTTATTTGAAGCTTACAGTGACCGGTGTTGTTTATACCGCATTGAAATACATGAAAGATATAAAGCAAGTAACAGTAAAATCAATATGATAGTTTTAACTTGTTCTGATAATAATAACATGTGTTGTGCATCGATACCAAAGCGTTGTAGATTGAAAAGTCGTTGGATAAAATTAACCTTTTTAAAGAAAAAAGATGTGAGTATAATACGCGTGCGCGCGCTACTAAAAAGAAAATAAATGAATCTTAAAGATAAAATAGATTCGTTTTACAGTAATCGTTAAAGGTTCTGATGTTACACGATGTTCTCCGTGTAAAATCAGCATTCACATTTTGATGATGAAGAGTTTAGCGGATGAGCTGTAGGATTTTTGAAGTGACAGATTATTTTGCGAGAAAATTTCGCTATGCGTCAAAATTATTTTAGTGCGTAGCTATCACCGACTTTTTACCTGTATCGGCACCCATGAGTATTTTTTTCGCATAAAAATTCGGTGGACCGCGGTTGACTTTTCAACCGCAACAAACTACGCGTTACGGGGGACGGCGTATTTTTTATTAACCGCGTGCCATCGGTAAAGTAGATTAAAACCGCGATTTCACTCGTTCTTTTGCGAATCGCGGTCGTCCGTACCGCCTAGTTTCTAGCGGTTTTAACTGTAACCGCGTCTCGCAGCGGTTGCATTAATGTATCCGGGTGGATCGTGGTTGCATATAACGCCACGAGAAACTAGGCGTTACGCCTGTACTCTAAGGGTTATGAACGGCTCACACTTACAGACTAGCATTCGTAGCAGTGAAGAGAAGAAACTGCCACGCGTGGCCGACGGCTCATACGAGGTAAAGATGGAATAATGAGTTAAGTACAAGGTGCAAAGTGATGAAAAGTACAAGTAATCGAGCAGATGCCCAAATGATGAAGTATTTTTCTCGAGAAAAAAGCCAGATAAAGTTTGTATTGAATGGTCGAACAGAGATTTGGTTTTAAGAGCTTTTCATTTGAAAACAAAGGTGAATGATAAAAGTGGATCTGTACTTTTGTCCATCGCTCTCTACTACAAAGACCATCATCAGCCTTTTTCTATATTGAGACATACCTCTAGCCAAAGTGCTTTCTAGTCTTCATCATTTTTCTTACATGAACAAAAAAGTCTGCACACTTAGATTTCGTTATTGAAGAATCGATATCTTGTACAATTCTTACAAAAGTCTATTGGGCGCTTCTACATATTAACGGATAGTTTGAAGTCCAACAGCTCCACTGATCGTTTTCGGTTAAGTTTCACAAATATGATAGTAACTTGATTTAATCCAGAAGATATCATCTGGTGTTCCCCATGTCGTGTAATTACTCGTTGTTCTATTCAATATTTGACAATTATCTGTAGCTGTTGCCAAATAATTTCGTTCAGTGAAAAAATCAAAAATGAACTCGATCCGGTCTGTTTTCCATTTAATTTCAGCCCATTCCATTTGAACTAATACAATGTTGATTGAATCAAATATTTGACTACCTGATGCACATAAGAAACTTTCAGACGACTGAATATCAGCCTTCATTATT